AATAGAAAATCTTTTTTTTTTTTCACCCACTCTTAATCACCCACTCTAGCTGGGTAAAATATTGGAGTTATCACCCACTCTAATCACCCATTGTAGCTGGGTAAAATAATGAAGTTATGGAAGTATATAAAGGAAAAGAAGATGGCAGTCTTAGAAATCTTACTGTTCACTTTTCAACTCTGTCTACATATTCCTGTATATTACAGTAACAAAGCTGTGTTTTTTTATTCTTCACTTGAGAACACAGCCTTTTTTTGTGTAGAAAGAGAGCTGATTTCCTTTCACTGCATTCTCAGTCCAACAGAACATTGACTATTATAAGTTTCTACAGCTTCTATGAAGCTTATAGTAAAGGTGATTAGGAAGTCTCTGAACTCTAGTAGTGAGCAATCCAGCCAACACTGAAGTCATTGTTTCAAGGCTTTATCATTCCAATAATTCATATTAACTAAAACTCCTATGTATCCTAAGATTCTGAACATATTAGAGACTTAAAGAGAAATATACTTTTGCTATAAATCTCTTCATATTGAAGCTAATTAACAGGTTTATTTAAAAGCTTCTCTGTGAAAAGAAATACAGTAGCACAAGGGAGAAACATCAAAAATGGTTTGTGAATATATGTCAGTCAAAAAGTATTACCTTGCATTTCTCTTAATAGTTTCTTGTATATTAATTTTTAAGCTGGTCACAGGTTATGTTTTTTGATTTATTCAAAAATTTTACTTAGTCTTTCTGTGATTAGGTCATGTGAGTGATTCCCAAGTTACAATTTATAGTTTTAATTAAAATTCTTATTTGCATACTGTAGTCTCATTACTTCCATATTTAAGATCTGATTTCTTTCAGACCTTAAGTCCTTCATAATTTTCATGACTTGATATAGTATCTCTTTAAGGATCTTTAAGTTCTCAATCCCGCAACAGGCTCAGAAAAATCAGAAGATACCACCATCTTTTTTTTTTCTAGTGGGTAAACTAAATAAAGTTCAAAGAGCTGAAGACATTCATTGAGCTGGGTATACACGATAAGACAACACTTCTCTCTGGCTTTCTATTTTACTAGATTAGAACTTATTTCCCCTTTCTTTGAGAAGTTGGTAAATCTAACATCATAAATAAGAAAGATAAATCTCAAAAAACAGGTATAAGGGTCCAGTTATAGTTTACAGGCTCAAGATTTGTGGCCAAAGATAGACATTTGAGAGTTCTTTAAAAAGATTGTGGAAAAATAGAATTAAAAGATAATATAAAATAAAAGTTTCCGTGAACTTTCTGAAGACCCCTTGTACTTGGTCCCCTCCTCAGCTACATATAGAGCTGTTCTGTGTTAATAGAAATAATTTATAACATTTTACAATTTTCTTTCTTATTTGCTTAGATTACAGCGTCAAATCCATGCTAAAGATAATGAAATCAAGAACCTTAAAGAGCAACTTTCCATGAAAAGGTACAAACTTAGCTTTTTCTTTCATTGGGTGCACCCTCTCTGGAGTTGTGTATTCTGCTCAACATGTTCTGGCTAGGGTAGCCGTGTAATTTACCATCCAAACCTGGGGCACTTGGGAGCATGATATTGGTCAGTATTAATAGGTATAAACTGAAAATGTCCTAGACAAATTGGGAGGTATGGTCACCCTAGCTCTGGTCCTAAAAGCTTCTGAGGAGATTGAATTGGCAAAATTATAGTCCCCACAGTAAACTACTAGAGCTTAAGAGTTCTTATTTCTTTACCTGAATCAATACTACTAAGTGTAACTGTGTTATGAAACTGGCTAAGTTTTATTCTGATTCACCTATTTTTGCTTGTAATTTTTAAATAACAACTTTTTTGAGATCTAAATCACATAGCTCAAAATTTATCCCGTGAAAGTATGTAATTACTTGTTTTTAGTACATTTACAAAGATATACAAACATTGTTTCTCTCTATTTCCAGAACATTTTTATCATCCCAAAAAGAAACCCTGTACCCAATATAAGTCATTCTCTGTTCTCCCCTCCTTCAGCTTCTGGCAACCACTAATCTACTTTCTGTCTCTATGGATTTATCTATTCTGGACATTTCATATAAATGGAATTATTTATTATGTGGCCTCTTATGATTAACTTCTTTCACTTAAAATATTATCAAAGTTCACCCATGTTGTAGCATGTATCAGTATTCACTCCTTTTTATTAATAAATAATATTTCATTGTCTGAATATACCACATTTTATCTTTTCATCAGTTGATGGACATTTGGCTTGTTTTCTATTTTTTTTTATTATGGATAATGCTGTTATGAAATACATTTATATACAGATATTTTAGTGAGTGTGCTTTCATATCTCGTTGTTATATACCAATGAGTGGAATTGATGGGTCATCAGTAAGCTGTATGTTTAACTTTTTGAGGAATTGCCAAAAGGTTTTCCAAGTGGCTGCATCATTTTATGGTCCAACAAGTGTATGAGGGTTCTGATTTCTCCGCATTCTCACCAACAATTGTTAGATTATGTCTTTATTTTACCCATTATATTACATGTGAAGTGGTATACCATTGTGGCAAGTGTATGAGGGTTCTAATTTCTCCGCATTCTCACCAACGATTGTTAGATTATGTCTTTATTTTACCCATTATATTACATGTGAAGTGGTATACCATTGTGGTTTCAAATTGCATTTTCCTAATAATTATGCTGAACATCATTTTGTGTAGTTATTGGTCATATCTGTACCTTCTTGGAAAAATGTCTATTCAAATCCTTTGTCCATTTTAAACAATGGATTATCTTTTTATTGTTGACTTTTAAGAGATCTTTGTATGTTCTAGATACAAGTCCCTTATCAGATACATGATTTGTAAATATTTCCTTCCATTCTGTGGGTTATCTTTTCACTTTCTTGATGATGTCATTTAAAACACAAAAGTTTTAATTTTGATGAAATCCGATTTATTTTTTTCTTGTGGGCAAATTTTGCACAATATTTAATGGCATAATAATTAATGTCTCTTATGTTGAGTAAATGTATCCGCTTGAATATTTTATGATTTTTTCCCCCCCTCAAGAAACCCTAGTCTTAATGTTATCTAAACTTCTCATTAATGTTGGTCAGGTCCTCAAGCATCTAGGTGTTTCTAATAATAAAACATTGAGAATGTTTTTTGTGAAAGTGTCTATTATAATGTTATATTTTCAATTAATTGTTTTCATTAAAGACAAATTTTGGTTTGTATGCTATACAATTCTGGCACTCAAGTGTAGGAAGCTGAAATGGGATAGGAAAAAATGAAACCTCCTAGGTAGCCATTTTCCATAATGTTCTTCATAAATAATATCTTTACCCTCATCTCCCTTCTTCTCTCTCAAGCTGTATGATTTGCTTTCATTCTAAGGTGTTGAATGAGGTCTTGAATGTGAGCACTGACATAACCAGTAAAATGTTTTAATGCGGTGACTGCTTTATGAGGGGGATAATAAAATCCTATGTGGTTGCTATTGTTGGGATACAGAAAGGCTTGTAGAAACTTTATTTTATGTAAAATGTATTAATAATGATAATAGCTAACATATATTTAGTACTTATTATGCGCCAAACACAAAGTGCTTTATGTATATAATCTGAAAGAGTTTTCACAGTAGCTCTTTGAGGTAAGTAATACAATTTTCTACTTTTTTATGTATAAGAAAACTGAGGTATAGTGAAGTTAGGTAACTTGCTGTCTTAGTTTGGGCTGCTATAACAAAGTATTATAGACTGGGTGGCATATAAACAACAGAATGTATTTCTCACAGTTCTGGATACTGGGAAGTCCAAGATCAAGGCACTGCCAGATTTCGTGTCTGGCGAAGATCCACTTCCTCATAGACAGTCATCTTCTCACTGTAAC